TTAAGGAAAAGAATTAATGCTTAATTTTGGTTTGGTAGAAGAGGAAGAACATTGCAGTAGAGTTTCATGCTTCCTAATTTAATTAATTTCCCCATGAGGACCTTCCTCCCTCCCAGTCCTAGCCAGGCTTTTAATCCATGTAGTATACAATATTCTTTTCTTGCCTGTCACCACCAGTAGTCATGGCTCTCTGTTTTGGTTGATCCTTGAAATGCACGAGTGGGGTTCCAAGAGAGAGAGAATTATGTGAAGTGGAAGCAAATAAAATGGGGGAGAAAAAGAGAGGGCGGCAGTTGTGTGTGTTTCATACACAAAACACAAATAGTGAATGATGATTACCTTGTGAGTGAAGAAAAATGAATTGAGAAAGACAAGTTGGAGTCAAAGACAAGACGACCAACCATCCTTCTCTTTCTGTCTCCTTCCAATCCGTTTTCCACTCAATAATCCAACAAACACAACACAAGATCCCTGCTCTGCAGTACCCAATTTTAATTTTCATATTTATTTCTTAATATATATGCATGCATTTCTAAGCAAGTAATACCCCACACTTGCATCACCTTTCCCACCCCATCAAGCCTTCTTAATTTCTTCTCCCTCCAGCTACCTTCATTTTGTCTGATCATTATATTTAATTACTAGATCAAGCTATATATATATAAACCGGCTGGGCTTTTCAACTTGATCATATCGGAATATGTATACAGCAATGACAAAGCCAGCTGATCCGGCAGCAATCAACAACAACAACAACAATAAGAAGATGAAGCTGAGGAAGGGTTTATGGTCACCGGAGGAAGATGAGAAGCTGATCAAGTACATGTTAACCAACGGACAAGGCTGCTGGAGTGACATTGCTAGGAATGCTGGCCTGCAGAGGTGTGGAAAGAGTTGTCGCCTTCGTTGGATTAACTACTTGAGACCTGATCTTAAGCGCGGTGCGTTTTCCCCTCAGGAGGAAGACCTCATCGTTCATTTGCATTCCATTCTTGGCAACAGGCATGTAATTAATTTTCTTTCTCTAATAATTAACCTTTCTATTGTGTTTTTTGTTCTCACTAGATCTCTCTTCAGGTGCGTGTGTGTGTGCATATATATATGATTCTGATCTGTTTGAAATTATTGATGATATCCAGCAGGTGGTCTCAAATTGCTGCTCGTCTTCCAGGGAGGACAGACAACGAAATAAAAAACTTCTGGAATTCCACCATAAAGAAAAGATTGAAGATGATGAACAACAATATTCCTTCATCACCAAACAACAGTGATTCATCAGATCCCTGTCTCACGGTAGCTGCCATGTGCTTGGACTCTTCGTCCTCATCGTGTGCATCTCTACAAGAAGGAATGATTAGCCAATTCGGTGATCCTAATTTCCATAATTCAGTAGACACGACAGGTGGTCCTGCTAGTTTTTACACAATGCCATTGCCTTGTTTCAGTTTATCACAAGTTGGTAATCATAATATTTCACAAGGATTAATCTTGGAGGATTACGGCGGGGTTGCAGGGAAATTGGGGTTAGAACAAGGGGAATTTGGTGGTACTGAAGCAGCTGGGACTAACAGTATTGATATTGATATGAAAGGCAATATCAACCACTACAATAATGGTTGCTTCAACAACAATAATGAAGCTGAAGCTGTAGGGTGTGAGGATATGTTTGGCTTTGGGTTGGAAAATAATTGGAATAATATTATTGGAGGAGAAAACTTAAGAATGGGAGAATGGGATTTGGAGGGTTTGATGGATAATGTATCCTCTTTTCCTTCTGTTCAATAACTCCCTCTTCCTCTAGAGTTATATCCCTACCCAAATTTAAACCACATTTACTAGGAATTTTTGTGCCGATGTTATTCTTTTAAAGAAAATAAATTGTTCACCCCACCCAGCCTCTCCTTTTAGTACCCCGCAAGTGGAGATTCTTGTATGTAATTGAGTTGGAGTGTAAGAGAATTTGATGAATTTGCGCCTAGTCAGTGTAAGTATACTGTGTACATCCTTAATTGAAAGACAAAATTAATAAGTGAATGTTGTGGGATACTGAAATAATAAAGGATAGACGATGGTAGAATCCCAATGT